GTCCCCTCCCCTCTGGGACCTCAGTGCTTCCCCAACTATTCTCCTTAGCTCATTGAAGTCCACCCTCCTGAAATCTAGGGCTGCTGCCTTGCTGCAGGCCTTTGCCACCTTGCGCTGGATGGTGAATCCCAGCAGACAATGATCGCTGTCGCCCAGGTGGTCGAGCACCCACAGCCCCCTCACCAGGTCCTCTCCCGTGGCCAGCACCAGGTCCAACAAGGCATCTCCCCTGCACTGCAGTCAAAGGGCAAGGAGAAGCAGCAGCACGACTGGATCCTAATGCCTGCACTCCTCTAACCTGAGCTGGGTCATTCTGCCCCTTTCCCCACCACCAGAAAATGTTGCCGACCCCTGCACTAGCAGAACTAAACCCAGGTCTCAACAGACTCTGTGCAGTATCCTAGTCACCAGACTACATTGGCTTCACCAATAATCTATGGATTAAGTCTCCAATAGGCCACAGTGATACAACAGATCTACATGACCTTCAAGGCATCAGCATGTGCCAATGAGCCACAGATTCTGCAGAGTTGCTTACCTGTGTGTTTTATTACAAAATGAAAATGATAACGTGCATGGAAAAGTGAAAGAAACTTTGAAGGTCTCCTCGATTAAATTCTCAGTTAGTACTTCTGCCACCAACCTTCGTTCTCCCCGCTGTGACAAAATATTGTAGCAGCTACTCTGTATAGTCAGCTGGTTCATACACATTTTAAAACTATGTTAGCAATTACCGTAAAGACACTTTATGAAATATCTTGTACAGAGTCTTATGAAAATGTACACATGAGAAAATCAAACTGGTCAATGAACATACTGAGGTTGGGGTCTGCATGGGAAATGGCTAACGTGATACTTATATCAATGTATTTTGCTAAAATGCAAAATATGAATCCTCTTTGAGTCCAACTGCTTTCAAACATGTAGTCATGTCTTTATTAAATGCTTCTGAGCCGCATATCAGCACAAATGGCTTTTTTTTACACGAACCAATTATTTCCTTAATCAAGTTTTCATTTATATGGCCAGTGTATGTGTTTTTCTGATAGCTCCAAGGAAGTTCCTTCAGTGAATGTTCCTGGAAAAGCAAAAGGTTTTTTATTGCATCAAATTGTGTTAGTGAAAAGAATAGTGAATTCTTTACGGAGGCACTGGTTAGAATCAAATGCCTAGCCCCCCAAACCTGCTCCACAGCATTGCAGCTGACACTTCATCCCTTAAAGGAACTCCAGGACTAATAATTGAGAGCTGCCTTCCCTCAACCCAGAGGCAAAGCATGTTAGAGCAAAATGTGAGAGCTAAGGGCAAAGTGCTTTCTGTCAGGGGGATCTGGCTTTGTAATACTTTCAGAGGAGCCAACCCAGAGCCTGGCCATCACTAGGACATGTTGCAAAATATTCTGTCTTGAAGAAGCATTTCCACCCAGCTTTGGTAATGGGTAGGATGAATGGATGGATGGATGCTGAATTATAAAAAGAGAGCTGCCCTACTTGACATTAGGCTGAAACAACTTTTTTATGAGAGATGATGAGACGACAGAAGTGAAAAATGTGTGGGTGGGAATGTATTGACTAGTGTGAGATGGACCCATTGTCATTTGCTGGGTGGAATTTCAAGACCTCTTCAAACGTGTCCAACTGTGTTGCCCTTCAGTGGCTGCCTTGCACAGAGCATATAAACTGTAGTGTTAGACATCCTGAGTGGACACACTCCTTCAGAGCAAATGGCAGAGGTGTTTAGGAGCAAGAGGTCATGAGATCCATGCCTCATACACATTCTTTCCAAACTACCAAGGCCAAATGCAATACATAATGCATGACCAAATTCCCAAGGAAAGGATCCAAGAATGATTCATAAAGAAACTTAACAAACTGTGGGACTGATTCCCTTTGCATAAAAGACTCTTTCTAAAATAATCTCAGTGCAAATCAAGTTATTTACTATATAAATAATTTTCAATAATAAAAGTAGTGGGACTTTAATCCTATGTGGAAGACAGGAACATCCCTCAAAACAAAAGACACGTGACAGGTATGCTCTTGTCCTATATAGTTAGCCTAAGGAGCAGCTTGAAGTAGATATCAGCTTTTTTTTTTTTAAAAATAGGTGTGAAAATGATTTAATCAGAGATCTCTGCAGACAGAAAAGATGCCGAGAAGCTGGTGCAGACACACTACAATATGAGATTCCAAGCTAGCAGTGAACATGTGTGAAACTACAAACTAGCTAGAGAACATGAGTAGTGAATGAAAGGTGATAACACAGCAATGCATGGATGCTAGGAAAGGCAAGAGCCTTTGAGAGCAGGTTGTTTACCAAGAGCCTAGCAGATTGCTGAGAACTTCATAAATCTACTTTTTCAGAGGCAACAAGGACCAGTTTTGAGGGGTGTAAGGGAAAATAATCCATGGTGAATAAAGATGAATGTGACCTTTTCAAGGGGATCTCTGTCAAGGCAGGTCATCTAGGGAGAATTAGTGATCTACCCAGAAGACAAGTTAGTACGAGTCCCAGACCATGTGTAGGATATAAAGAACACATCTTAAGACAAAGGCTACTGCAGTGATTCTCAACCAGGGTGCCACAGCACCCTGGGGTGCCTTGAAGTATTTTTAAGGGTGTTGGGGAATGGCACTCAATGTTACCACTGTTAAGTGTGGAAATGTGATTCACAAGATAAACCCAAAGATTTTAAATGGGAATCCAGAGGGTTAAAAACATTCTGACCGATTATGGTATTTGAGTTCTTTGCAACAGAAGAATTATTCTGTTAAGTTTTTGTAGTCAAAAATTAAGTGAAAACTAAGAGCTGACATTTTCTGAGGGATGCCCCAAATCTGAAAAGGTTAAGAATCACTGGGCTACTGGATCACTAAACCACCTTTTTCCCTGAGAATGGATTAATTTAGTTTATGCTGATACGCAAGCAGATGTAGAGATTCCCCAGGATAAATGTGCTTCATATTAGAATTTTACCTGGCTTAGGATGTAAAACATTCTGACGTTCCAGTATCGAGACAGATCTTGGAGAAGAGGTTTCAAGTAGATATTTTCAAAGGTCCTGAAGCAGCCAACCAGGGTGATAAAGGTTTCATCATCTTCGTTTTCTGTTACATACTGGAGGATGGGAAGCATTGGTGCCAGGCCAGTACCAGAGGCAAGCATGAGTAGTTCTCCATACTAGTAATTAACCAAAGGATGGGGAATGAATCAGAGCAACTGAAAATGAATAAGGCCATTACAGTAATCCTTCCTTCTGCAAAGCTGGGATGTCATCCCTTGTAAGAGAGTTCAACACATACGACAAGGCTACTAATTGGTAAAAGAAAGGTTGATACAACCCAAGCTCAACAGAAATACTACCATGACTTGTTAAATAAGTTCTTCTCAACACCAGTTTTGCTTGGGTAGGAATCCACCCCCTTCCCAGCACCAAAGTTTTAACCACAATTTCCAGTGAAACCATACTGAGCCTCAGTTCCCCTGCACAATTCATGGCTCTGAGGTTTCCTGATGTAGGCTGGGATACGAACCCAGGGTGCAAGAAGGAATGGTTTCCTCCCTATTGTGTCCTACCCCCTGGACCACTCTGCCTCCTTTCATCATGGCCAGGGATTTTATATTGGACTGGATTAACTGACTGGTCAGACTGGACACAAAGTCTACATAGCCAAACATAATCATGTATGAAGGACTTGGAGCCAAAGGCCTCATTCATATTCAAGAGCTGGGTTAAGGACATCTGCAGTTGCAACGCAACAGAAAAGCTAGTGCCTTGTGCAAAGGAAAGCTCAATGCCCCATTGGATGTGAAATGGCTTTGCCAATCCAACTCCTACTGAGGGCAGGGGAAGCAGAATCTAATCTATTATGGACAAACCAGTCTCAAGTCCTCTGAAACATTCAGTTTCCCTTTGCACAGGGCACTAATTTACTCAGATATGTCTACACAATGCAAGCCAGAGGCCATGGTCCTAGGTGTAGTGCACTAGCACGGCTACACTGCTGATGGTTCCAAAGCCAGTGTGTGCATGGCTAGCTGTGACATCTCTGCTTTGCCCCACGTAGACACACCCTCACAACCCTCGCTCTTTGGGCTCACAGTTCCTGGGACCCCAGGGTGTTCAGCACCTCTCAGTCTTTGGGCTTACACATGCCTCTGTTAGTTTATGGCTGATCCCCCCGGTGGACAGTTTGCAAAACCTATTGTAACCAGCTAATTAGCAGCAGAACAGCCTGGCTGCAGGGAATGGAGGTGGTGTCCAGGAACTACGTGTGCTGCAACTTTCTGATTCATTGTCAATGGCTCTGAATTATTTCAATTTTTGAGCGGGGTCCCAGTTTTAAAATGAGATCAATCGCGAAGTATTTTGGGAATTAACTGCTTTAAAAACCAAAATGAAAGAACACGTTGTAGTTAGAACTCATACCCCAGGCATCAGCTTGCAGCTATTGCTATTCATAAAGATGGCGTTGTTTGTACTTCAGTGGTGGCCTTGGGCCATGTACTGAGGTGCTTTACCAACTGAACTTGCAGGGATCAAAGTCATAGCGAAGTCGGGCTGGCAGGGACCTCAGGAGGTCATATCTAGGCCAACCCCCTGCTCAAGGTAGAATCATCCCTGTCTAATCCAATACACACAATGCCCATTTAACCTGTTCTTAAAGAGCGCTTACCCATTTCAAGAGTGCGACCATCTCTATGGAGGAGCCTGGCAATTATTCTGTGCCACAAACCAGAGCCAAGAGCAGGGGAAGTGAAGAATAACTTTTCCACTAGATGCAGTGGGGTGGATGAAGGAACATCAGTAGGCAGGATGCAACTGCTCTCTCTGGAAGCTGGCTCAGACCCTGGAGTTTGCACACCCTTAGTTCTGATAAAAGTGCTGGGGGGTCTAATGAGCACAGAGTCGCAATTATACATCTCAGCCAAAAGTTTCTTCAACACCAGAAAGACTTAAAAGGAAACCGACATGCAGGAACCCTTGCTAGCACTTTATAATCTTGTCCCACCTCTCCCTTTCCTCTTAAATAGTTTGTATTCTAACAGGGTCCATTTCCTCTAATCAACTGCAAACGCTGCAGCCTTGTACAGTAAACCTGGAAGTCCCTAAAATAATAATCCAAATAGTAATCTAATCAACAACATCCCTTTGGAATATTAAACAAAGTGAGCTGCCATGTGCTGAAACACTCAGTATCTATTACAGAACTAACCTGATTAGGTCTATATGGGAAGCCTCCAAACGGCCCTCGCCAAAAGATTGTCTCTCCTTTTTTCCAGGATTTTATGTATTGTGACATGAGTCCACTTGCATAGCACTATTAAAAAATACACACACACAAAAGAAAACAATCATTATATTTTGCTAGGAAGTTTCCCAGCTTAAAGGCAATTATAAAGTTATCTCCATTTAAACAAAAAGGTTGGGGGAGGGGGCGAATATTTCACAGCTTTAAAAAATGATCCCTCTATTTACAAAATAATACAAAGAAACCCAAATCAAAAGATACTTAAAATAAGTGATGCTGGTTTCAGACTAGCCTGAATATAATGTAAAAACTACCCAAAATGCTGAAGCAGGGGAAAAGGCAGAGCTCTCACCTGTAAAGCACACGAAGAGGAACTCCTTGGTACACAAAAGCCAGCCTAAGCCCCCTGTTCTCCAGAGCTGAGGATATGGTTGTGTACTACTGCTCTGAAGAAGCTGGGAGCTGGAAGGGTATTCTGGGTATTGATATTCAAATAAATGCCACATGATTTTCACTTTGTTTCAGAGCTACCAGGCCCTGTAATGGTACATTATGTACCAATGGAATGAAATTCAGGTTTCCCTATTTATAATATTGAGCTGCATTTTCACTACAGATCATCTAAACAGTAAGTGATGCTCCAAGATTTTACTGAAAGGTTAATATCTAAGCTTCACTAAAAAAAATAGTAAAAACACTTTCTCTCTAAACAGGTGTAAAACCCTCTGTGAAATACTGTTAGAGATTTCTGCATGCAGGAACGCTAGCTTCATGTGTGACTGGAGGTGAAGAGGCAGCACAGAGAAGGATGCAAAGAGAAAGCCATGGGGTCATCCAAACAGACCTGTTTCCATCTGTGGTTGCATCCAATATATCAGAGACATTTTATATTCAGTGGGCCTTGTGCAGTCATTTAACACCCTTGCAGAGTGGCTGTGACTGTTTTATATGCATCTTCCACAACTACAAATGGCAGCTCAAGGCAGAAAGGATGTGGGATAGGGGTGGGTAATCAGCCCCATCTATGCCGTATCTTCTACAGTGTGGGGAAACAGCATTTGGGCCCACATGTTCCCCACTGTCTTAAATCTTCCTTTAAAACCTAAATGAGAAAGACTAAACTGGTCTAAAAGTTGCAGGGTTGTTGGGTTTTTTTTTTTGGTAAATAAAAAGGAAGGGAATAAATATCTCCTGGGGTGAAGGCTTGTACACCCAGTTTTTCACTTAAAAAACCCCCCACAGCATTAGAAAAATCACTCACAAGGAGGGTTACATATGGTAAATAGCAACTCGCTCACACTTAACTGTAGTATCACAAATGTAATGCTATAATAACAGGAGATGGAGGGGTTTGAACAGTGCTTGGATTGCACAGTAATAATAATAATATAGTACTTCCCAAAATTGCCTGAATAGTGTGAAATATACTACAACCTCCAGAGAAGTTATAAAAATGGGTGCCTTACAATGGGTGTTACATCTCTTTTGTTACTGCCAGAGAATAACTATAGTTCCCTTTGGGATGAAAGGTTCGACATAAAGGAGAGGTATTATTACAATCATTACTATTATTATTGAAATGCAAAACCTGTGTGTAATAAGCAAGTATACATGAAATCTCACAGTCAACCTATGAAAGTATCCTATTAATGTAGCTCCAATGTAACATTTCTTTCTCCCCATCCCAGTTGCCACCATAATGGTGAAATGACCTACCCACAAGCGTCTCAGAAAAAATATACATGTCTAAATGAGCGTGATTCCTGTTCTATCATACACGGAGTAATACACCCTTACATGTGTAAAGATGGGCAGAGGGTCAAGTGATCATTCTCTGATCGGCGTGGGAGATGTGGCACTTAGAAAGGAACCTACAGATCTCCGAGGATTTACAGAAAGGCATGTGCAGATCAGAAAGAAAGACTGTGCTTGCTGGCTTTGATAGTTTACACCCAAAATCATTATTTATGCTAGTCCTGCTCCTACGATCCCAACTCACGCAAAACTTCAGCAGACTCAGGACAGGTTGTGATGTTAGTTTTAAAATATGAAGACCACGAAAAAGTCAAACACAAAACTCCTTCTCATTTCAATAGTGCTGGCACGGATCTCAGTTTGCATGGATTATTTAACAGGGATTATGCTGTAGCTAATTTATTTACCTGTCACCTCTTGTGTCTACTGTGTGTGTGTGTGGGGGGGTAAAATTATCTCAGTTTTACCAGAAAAAAAGGCAACTTCCCCAAAATTCCTACAGAAATAGCTCATGAAACATTACAATGATAACGTTGTGCTAAGTGAATGCTCTGGGACATAATAGTAAGTGTGAATGATAATTCATGCTAAGTGTGGAAGGTGTGTTCAGTCTTGTACATGACTTAGAAGAAACCACAGTACCAATATATTTACAATCTGAATAATACAGACCACTTACTTTTATTAAAACGTCAAAGTACCCTTCTGCATTCACAGGACTAATTGGAGTATACGCTCTCTGAACTTCCAAGCCATTCACCTCCCCTCTAAGGAGTAAAAAGAGGAAACCACTGTTATCTGATTTACTGACATCACCAACGATACTGCTCTTTGGAGAGACCAGCCAAACTTGAAAAAGCACAGCAGTTGTCTTTCCTAAATGGTTATCCTTTGCCAAAACAGAATAAATATTTCCCCTAATGTAGCTAAAGATCCAGCAACATCCTCCCCTCTGAGGTTTCTGTACAAAGCTGCCACAGATTCCTTGGGTTTGCAAGGCGATGGCTACGCCACTCCACCAGCTGCCCCAGACAAGTGGGGAAAAAGACAGAACCAGCTGTTCAGGGGGAACAGCTGAGTGTAGTGCAATGAAGGGAAACAAGAATTGCTTTATTGGTAAATATGCTACATTGCTCTGGAGCAGAGGCTAGCTTTTATTCTACGCATGCAGCAAATAAATAATAGTAAGGATGATGATGATGATAACAGATACAGATATTACCATTATTGCTTGAAATTAGGCATCTGACAGGCCTTACCACCAGTTGCTAAAACAGATACAAGTCTTTCCATATGACCCCTTCCTGGTAAATGCTATACCATGGTAGCAAATTATTTGCTGGCCCTCAGTCCTAAAACACATGGATTTTGAACCCACTGCTATGTGCTTTGACACCCCAAGTGACAAGGCCTAAAACGATGAACTTTCTAATTGGCAAAGACTGTTGCCCTCATCCCACCATGTTGTTATAAATCATCTGTTGTAACAACTACTTTTCTCTTCTTTTCATCCTAAAAATGGTTTTTCTTAACCACACTTAATTCTCTTCTCCCCCACCAACACAAAGCTAATATTGAAAGAAAAATACAGTCCTGGAGTGGCTTTCACCATAAAATTAGCAGAGCTAACAAGCTCACGAGTTCTTTCAGCTGTATCAATTTGGTAGTATAGAAATTATGATTTACGTAGTACTAAATCTTTGCAAATTGAAAACAAACTGCATATTAAGTTGCATAAAAGAGCCTGTTTAACTAGAGACTAGAACAGTACCTTAACACAACGTGTTGTCCTAAACTCAATCCCAGGCTGCTATTTTCTGGTAATTCAAATCTATACAGGTAGGTGTCCTGTGTTAGCTGTTCCACAGAGTTTATGTTGAATGCAGTAAATGTATCTGGATTTAGCTCTGAATTACAACTCTGGAAGCACAACAATAAATAATTACTAGGTTAGATGGTGTCCTTTATTATTTTATTCCTCTTTTTAAACAAATGTGTGCACAAAGCTAGTGCTGGTAAAGCTTGAGGGCTCAGAAAATGCATCTTGAGAACTCTGGGAACTAGCCTATATTTTAGGCATCTCTCTGCTGCTTTGTTTTTTCAGGGTTTTCCTCAGAATCCAAGATAGATATGAAAATTAAGTTCTTGGACCTTAAGGTTGAATCAGCTAAACGTGACTCAATGTAATGCTCTCTTTTGGAGGCTGGAGACAGAAAGCTCAACAGAAATAATAGCTGTAAAAAAGCTTAACTACCCAGTAGGTACTTAATTCTGAAACCCTGTAATAGCCATTCGAAATAGCAACAACATCCTTAATTATTTCTCTGCTGATTATTTTCGTAGAAACTTCTAGCTTTACCCCGTAATGGTTGGATTTGTCTGAAAGGGTATTTGAGAGGCATACAATTACATGTTTTAAAGAGGAAAACAATGGAGCGTTCTACCAAACATGAGATTTTATTTTTTAGTCTTGGCATAGGCCTCCCCGAAAGATGGAAAAAGAAGAGAGTTCAGGGAAATGTAAGCTCTCTGAGGGGTTGCAGCAGAGGAAAAGCTGACTTGCTAATCGCCTCACCTCATCTTTCACTGGCAGGTTTGTTCTCTCATCCTATGGATCTCTACCTTGATGTTATGCAAGCTTGCTGTAGCAACGGCAGAGACAATACTGTAATAGGGTAGAGGTCAAAACCAAGAGCACTTGGGATACCCTATTGTGGCAATTTTTCTGGGGGAGGAGAAGTTGTAGTGGAATTAAATATTTTTCTCAAAAGACCATTATAACTCCCTCCACTACGCTCTTTGTATCACATGCAGACAAATGTAAGCATGATGCAAGCCCTGTTTGGGTTGCTATGGAGAAGTCGCTACCTGCTCCTTCTGTTTGCTCAGGAGGCTTTTGTCGTTCTTGGCTCTTGCCTTTTCCCATTGTGCTAGCTCCTTCTGATACAAATCGGAGATGCAGGGTTTGCAGCCACTGCCACAGCACTGAGACGGCAGCGGTTCACGGGGTTTGAGAGCGAGCCAGTCATCCTCACTTTCGCTCATTTACCTACCAAAACACAAGCTGAGCATCAGGGTTTGCATTTAAGGAAGAGGACTGTGGGGTGGGCAGTTTGCTGCTTGACAGAGACACCTCTCTCAAAAAGGTAGCTCAAGGGGCATCCAAAAACTGCCTGCCTGAAGATATGTGGACCAAGCCAACGCTCCATTTTCACGGGAGTAGTGCAGTGCTCTGCTTTGGTCCACACACACATATGGAAACCTGGATTCACGGCACCAGATTAAACCAACGATACATGCCAAAGTCCCGTTGGCAGCCAGCGCCAACTGATTCATAGGAAAGGGTATTCGACCCCCTCAATGGAAGCACTTGCTCTCAGGAAAAACTTCATCTTGGCCCCTCTGAGTCAGTGGCCAGTTTATGCCCAGCAGAACGTGTGTCCATCTCCCTTATAAATTCTTTATCCCATCTAACCCAATTGAGGATTTTCTCATTATTTAGGTAAACACCTAATCCACTTTTGAATACTAAATTCTTGGCCTCAAAGGCTGCAAAAGGAGCATCACATCTTGGGACCTATCTCCATGGACCATGTGCCTGCATCAAAGATGAAGGTGACAACACGTTGTAATCAGGTGGGTGGAGGAGAGGGATGGGTGGTCATGCCTGTATCGTTCCTCATACTAGACATCTAAGAAATCTGTATTAGACAACGTATAAACCTAAATATAAGCTGAGATCTAAAATGTGGCAGGAAACAGTTCCCACTTTCAAGAGAGGACCTGGGGAAGTCTCTGGGTATGCAGAAGCAATCAGAAGTAGAAGGGGTGGGCAGCGTGGGAAACTCAAGAAGTCAGAAGCAGGATTTAAGGAAGTCACAGGTAAATGAATGCTCAGTTTGGTGAGTGGCAGAACTGAAAGATCAAGCTAATATGCCAGGAGCATTTGGAGGATTGCGTGTTACTCTCCTTCCAGATATTCTTCTAACAGACGGTGTTCTGGGTCATATTCCTTTGACAAAAGGCAAAATACTAAACTCTCTGGGACATAATAATTATTTTATGCAATGCTCAGCTGGATATAATTCCCAATGCCTTTACTGCCATATCATTTAAACAAAAGGAAGTCATAAGGAAATTATAAAACCACAGGTGACAAGGCTAAAGAAAAGAACACTTAGCACTTACATAGCAGTTTCATTTGCAAGGTGCTTTATGAGCATTAATTAATCTTCACCCCTTTGACAAAAGTATTAGTATTCTAATTTTACACATGGAGAAACAGAAGCCAAAAGACAAATGAAAACATTTTTTAAAGTAGCCACTGAAGTCTCTTGCCTGGCGTTCTGAGGAGCTGAGCACCCAGAGCTCCTAGCTGCGGCAATGAGAGTGGCTGGTGCTCAGCATGCCTGGAAGTTCAGGTGCCTCGTGTGATTGCTGGCTGGACTCTCAGAATAAGACAGCATTGTTGGAAATGCTGGCCTTCGAACTAACCAAGCCTACAGAGTGGGTCAATTATTAGCATAGGGAAAAATTCTTAGGAGTGCCAGTTGCCAGCATCACAATTAGACCACACAAATTCCCAGCTCCGAAATATCATGAAGTTATGTGTTACTCAGACAATACAGGCAGTCCTCAGACTTATGACACAACTGGTTCCTGAAAACCGCGTCTTAAGTCAAAACGTTGTAACTTGGAACCAATTTTCTCATAAGAAACAATGTTATAAACGGGGGGTTGGTTCCTGAACCAAGGCCTGGTACCTGATTCTCACCAAAAATACCCCAGAATTTTGTACTCGATCAATTATTGATCAGCAATATAGCTACATTAATGTATTTATATTGTAAATAGCAATCATATTGATTTGGAAGGACTTCTTTGAGGTGACTTTGCTGGACTTTTTGTAGGGCTCTTGGCTGCAGGTTTTTCTGGAGTCTTGTCTGCTTTCTTAAAGAAAGTGTCCAAGGAAGTTTGGACAGACGTTCTCCAGGGAGATGGGCAACGCAGCGAACTTGTTCCCTGGAGTGGCGTCACATCAGATCAAGCATTGTGAAGTCAAAGCTGATGTCATAAAGTCGAAACAGTGTCAATTTTGAAATGTTGTAAGTGCAAAACATTGTAACTCAAAACACTGTAAGTTGAGGACTGCCTGTACTAAATCTGAGGAACGTCAGACTGCACTAAAGTCAGAAGATACTGTGAGCAATTGCACATTAAAGGTTAATACCATTTCTTGCCCACACAGCTCTGCCTAGCAGGCTGGAGAGCAAGGGTGTGGCTGGGAACCAGAACACCTGGACTGTATCCCTGGGTAGGGGGAGATTGCTAGGAAGGGTGCATCCTGGGATGCTAGAAGACTGCAAATTGCTCATTTTGTCTTTGTGGAACAGACTGAAGTTACCCAAACATGAGCTGGGTAGCACAGCTGAGTTAACCCTTGCCTGAAGTGGCACAATTTGAGATGCAGAGAGGGCATTTAGTATGAGTTAACAAGTTGTAACTTTCAGATGTTTGCGGTTTAAGTGCCCTTAGTATTTTTTTAAAATTTTTATCTGCAGCCAAATTAGCCAAAACTAATTCCAAATCCAAGTGTCCAGAGCCATAAGTGGCCCTATTACAGGCAAACATCCTCCACCCACACCTGGGGCTTCAGATGTTTCCAAAACCTTTGGTGGGCTTCCTACTATGGTCTAAGTGTAAGGTGTAACTTTATCCTTACTTTTTCATCCAAAAACTGTAATATCCTTGTGGTAGGTACTATGATCTTGGCTTTCCACTTAGAATGAGCCAATAACATCTGGGAGAGCAACATTTACCCCCAAAGTGAGGGTACAATCTTAGTAAAGAAACAAAGGAGGTCTGTGAGATACTAGAAGTGTGTTGCTTAAGCCTGTCTTGTTGCCCTGTGATACTGGTGAGGTTTCTGTATGATAAATCCACTGTCTTTCGGCTGCTTGGCCCAACCTCCCAACTCAAAGCAACAGGCAAAGGTTGGAGTGGGAACCAGCAGCTTGTTCAGAGTGGCTGGGCTTGCTCAGGAGATGCTGTCTCCATGAGGTGCCGCAACATTAACCTTTTTAACTCTGTTTCAGGTGGTGGTGAGTCTTTAGTTACTTGCTTGCAGATGAGGAAATCCTCCACACTCACCTAGTGTTTCCAGTTTCCAAGACTGATCAGAAAGGCTCAAAATGGGGAGTCTGACCAGGGAAGTAGGTCCCTGTAGGCTTTGCTTCCCCCAGGAATTGGGGGATCTCAGTCAGGGCAGGTGTCAACCACCCCCAGACAGGAGAAGCAGCCTCCTTGCTCTGGAAGATGTTTCAGCTTGGCCAGGGGCTCCTTCAGCCTCGCCCATGCCACTGACCCCTGGCCAAGGCCCAAAGGAAAACAGAAGAGAGAACATCATCGCGCTGCTCTACAAATCCACGGGGTGCCCACCTCTTGAATCCCGTGGGCAGCTCAACTACCTGTGTCTCAGAGAGGGCGTAGTGGAACAAGGACAAGCAGAGAGAAGAGGGCAACCAAGATGATCAAGGCCTGGAGCAGCTGCCAGACCAGGAGAGATTAAAGGCGGCTCTATCTGTACAGGTGGCAGAGGGTGGATAGGATGGAGGTCTAGACCATCACAAGGGGCGTGGAGCAAGCAAACAGGCACCTGCTGTTCAGCGAGTCCCGGAGCTGGGGGCACCAACTGGAGGCAGGCTGAAAACTAGCAAGAGAAAGGACTTTTTTTTTTTT